GCTCAGCATAGTTGCAGATCCTGTAAAAAATTGCAGCATTGACTTAAAGACAATAGAAGTAAACTAGTTCCCACACTTCTTGGGAACAGGAAGTCTCATAACCTCTCTAACTGCATTCTGGAGATATTTTTACCATTTTTATGAAATATGACACATGAAGGTCAGTCATCCTACCTCCACACATTTAAATTAACTTAGCTACAGTAGGTTTGAGGTCACAACAATAAGAAAAAAGTGAGTGTAACAATCTTTATTTATACTCAAATTTTCAAGGGCATATTAACAGCTTATTGTGACTCAACAAACGAATTTTGTAGTGATAAATTACAAATTAATCTACTCTAGTATGAAAAAATGTTAAATATTACAAACACTATGCCAGAAGGAACTCTAATTTTTTTTAATAACTTCCAAATAGAGAAGAATGGCACAATGTAATAATTACAGGTGGTTATTACCTCCAAGCTCTGCCATCATCATCTGCCTCCATGTACATCTTCTGCGTGGGAAACCATTCAGATAAACCGGAAATCTAATTCCTTTCACTTCCTCATAAGGACTTACACATTTCAACAATGATTAGATGAAGAAATATTTTGAATAAAAGGTCACTTTTAATATGGGATACAATATGGCATGACACTTTCTTGCTGGAATAATAACTGGATCTAATTATCTGATTTCCTATTTTTACTATTAACAAAAGCTAAGCCCTTGAAGAGATGTTTCTATTGTATGTGATGCTGATGTCTGTACAGTCCAAACATAATGAGAGGTTTCTGAAATGTACCCATTCCTGCATGTTGTACCAACACCATACTAAACTAATGTTAAGATTTTTATATATCAAAGAAATAACTCAAAATATATAAAAGCAAGATAAGTCAATGCAAGGCCCTGCCTTCTGCTACTTTACTGAAACTGAATTTTAGCATGATACATCACATTTAAATTTTGGCTACTTGCCAGCTGCCTATGTGTCCCTTAACAAACTTGATAGTAATGCCATGCTAGTAGCAACAAGTATTTTATTTCCTTACCTTCTGCAACTGAATTGCAGTAAACCAGAAGCACCTGAGAACATTTCTATGTTTTTCCAATGGAGTGCACATATTTTACAAATGTGTTAACATTACACATACCTCAAAGATCTATACCACACATTACAGCCAAATTTAATGTTGCAATGCTAAGTGCATTACAGATAAAAGTTTCCAGAAACACTTGCCTGCATTGTTATTCACCACACTAGAAACATGCATCATATATGGATCATGGTTCTTAATAATTTTAATTTGTCACATCTAAAATTCCGGGCAATAAACTGTTTCTAAACATCTATACAGTTTACTTATGATGATGTAAAGTAAGCTTTATATTAGAATGATATGAACCAAAACTGACATCCCCAACAACCTACAATACAGAACCCCTGTACAGAATTTCACAGAAAACTGTGTATTTTCAGATATGAAACACAAAGATGGACATAAGCAGCCTTACCATCATGCAATATTTTGTTCACTTTGTATGAAGAACTTATGAACTAGATAGTACTGAACATCACATAATTCAGCAAACAAACTACATACCTGAAAAAGCTCAGTGATTCATTTTGTAGCCATGCTGATGTGTTCACTCGTATTCAAACCACTGTGTACTGCTGCTGTATTTGTGCTGAAAAGCACTTCAGGCCAAGATGTTCTGCTGCAATTCAACAAATTACAGTATTCTAACACAACTGAAAATGCAGCTTCCATGCAGTACTTCTGTACAGTTGCTGGCTATTATGGACTGGTATTTGACGTCTGCAGAGCAACACTACGAAGCATAAAAGTATGAATGCGAAGTTTGTAGAAAATAAAGGAATGTTTTGACATAAAATTTCTGTGAATAACAACTTCAAAATTGTCTTTATGCACACCTACTTTGATTACTTATAAAAACAAATATATCTCAATTCCACCATTATCCACAACTACTGACTACTGGCACATTAACCATACGTATATTTGATTCAACAGATCTGATCCTCAGGCAGGAACCTCAAGCATATTTTCCTGTGATTCATATTAAGACACAATGAGCTGTGCCCTCCCATACCTTACAGCCATGATTTCATTATGGTCTTCTATGAAGAAGTGATCAATCTCCCTAGATAAGCTGAGCAGTTTTTATATATCAATAGGACTTGAAACCTCAAATTCCACTTCTCTTTAAAATCAACACAAGTTTACAAATAAATATTTTTGTCACAACCATAATTCATTATGTTATTAATATTTTTACATGCAATACTTTTTAAATGTTTTTTAGGTTCAGATTGTTACATATTTACCCACCATTTCACACTCAAAACAAAAATGGAAATACACAAAACTTGTTGGATATTCAAGTTAAAGAAAAAAATTAACTGCTATAAAGTAAACTAAGCCAAGTTAAAGGAATATCATGGGCAGGATCACAGAATAACCTGGTCATTAATTTTAGAACACCTTATTATGGAAATCTACCACAAACAATATCATACCATGGTTGTTGGCAAATGGGATTAAAATTATCAGTTATACTAACATTTTTGGTCTTCAGAACACCATCTATAAAAAAAAAAGCATGTTTGTTTCATGTGATGGTGAGGATGACATTAAGGCAGTTGGTTTTGTAACAGCTACAATACATATTATTCAGACACGTTTTATAATCTGAGCCCCATATAAACAACATATTTAAAATAGTTATGTTTAGGCTTTAAATGCTTGTCACCTACAGGCAACAAAATATATAATTAATTCTTCCCTTTTCTCTTCCCCTTATATGCAGTAATACAAAACCTCCTTTAACCTATATTTTTTGTCTCCTACAGCACAGCATGTTTCTGTACAAGTACTAAACATACTTTCAACAAACCAACATAAACCTAGAAGCCTCTTAATTGCAAACACTTATGGGCTAATTTCTCTAAAGTTCTCCTGGAAATGGTTTCATTATTTTTCTTATAAAGGTAAAATATTGTTGGGCACTAGCTGAAATGCCAGGAAGTTGTGTAGAAGGCTGGTATTTTAGGTGTCACTGTGGACCTTACCAATTCTGAACACATCACCATCCAAGATCTCTCTTTTCATCCAATTTGCACAAACTGAAAGGAACTTTTGGCACCCACAATGCAAAATTGGATTTTATAATTATAACATAAGCTTTGACCACTGTAATACAGATATGGTGAAGAAAATTCAATGTTAGACTCACTAGGCATTCATATCCATTCATTGCAGTCTGAAGGTAACAAGATGTCACATATATTTGTTCTTAAATTTCATGCCTATTTTTCACGGTTTATTTAATGGCACTGTACATACCTCAGGCTGAAACGTTAAATTATAGCATGATAAATAAATTGTAAAGAATATGGAAGGTTGCAGTCACGGCCTAATTTACGATAATATCCTGCCGCCTGTCTTACAATATGAAACCAGCCATGTATTTACAGCTTGACATGTGGTGATCTCGTTATCAGTCAACATCGGTTGAACAAGTTGTCTCGAGTAGATGAATAGTAATTTTCAAGTAAAAATTAAACACCACAAGCCTAATTAAACATTTTCAGGCACAACGGTTATTTAAATAACACAAGATTATTCAATGACAAATCACACATTCAGCAACGTGGTCAATCAACATAATCTAATGAAGAAAATTTTCTAAGGCCAAAAGTAGTTGCTAATAATACCTGTTTATGGACATCAACCTTTTCCAATAATATTCTATACGTTGTATAGTTACTGATAGAAAAAACACCAAAAAACACAATAACTTCTCCATCCCCGTACTGACGGCAACCTGCTACGCCATGACAATTACCAGATTCCACAGATAAAATTCATAGGTAATCTTCCTGCCTGTCAGCGGAATCTCTTTTAATCTGTGATCCACACCCTCAGCCAAAGGTAAACAACATGGAAGAGAAATATTAACCATTGAAAGAAATCGATTTTATACTAAGTTCGATTCGGTACGTATGAGAAAAATGACGTTCAAAATAGTATGTGCATACCTCCTCAGCTTTGATAATATCCGGATATAAGGTCGCCATTTTCAGGTGTCGTTACAATGGCGACGGTGCTGGTAATAAATAACATTTATGGCGAATGATGTAACATAATAATCAATTTTTCTGCTAAATTGGATGGGGAAACAAAAACAAATTTAGATGAGGATTGATTGACAGAAAATAATTCGATCTGCTGTTAAATAAAAACAAAAGTTTGCTTTTGAATTCAATGAGAAACAACACTATTTTTATTTATAATAAATGATTGTCTTAACGGCTGAATCAAATTCATGTTAGGTTCAATCTCGTAAAATGATAAAATTTATCCAAAATAACATGTTATAACGTGCACACATCCCAGCATTTCTGTGCACTTTACGATGGTAACTATGTTCGGTTAAAATTTTATTTGAAGATTATGGTGATGATTTGCTATCAAAAATAATTAGCATTTTCTTCAGAATTGCCATTACAAAAGGAAACTAGTGGGCTGATCTCTTCAGGTGCACTCTCGCTAGGAGCGTAGTTTTCTCGGGACAAATTTGGTAGAAATATTGTCTCATTAACACCCACCATAGCAAATTTTATGTTAAATAGATTCTTAGCGTTTATTTCAATCGCATGTCTGTGAAACTTCTACAGTTTAGAAGACCACATTTTCCTTTCGTAATTTATTAAAGCTTTATTTGCACAGAGCGCTTAAAGGATGTCGTGTCTCAGCGTCGATATTTAGAACTGTCATTAATTATAATTGCAGTAATTTATTTGTCATCGTATCTCTTCAACACAACCGTCACTTAGCACGCAACTGCACTAGGCCACATGGAATAATATTGGCCTTATGTAACTAAAGTAAAGTTTGTCCCACTATACACCATGTAGGCGTTTGGGGTGAGTGGAGGTATAGCTCCTCTCTTCCTTGACCTCGGCACTAGATGGGGGTGAGTGGTCAGCATCACGCCCCGGCCGGCTTTACCCCCGGGAAAGGACCCCGGTACCCATTGTAGAGGAGGCTGGGTGGGCCCCAGAGCCGGTCTGGACGCAGAGGCTAGAGGAAAAATCCTCCGCCCCCGTCGGGGATCGAACCCCGATCGTCCAGCCCGTAGCTAGTCACTATACTGACTGAGCTATCCCGGCTCATTTGTAGCATCTCAAATTTCCACGGCGAGCTGCGTGTTGATCTGTGTTATGCCGTGAAGTATTTTGGCTGTGTGCCAACGTTTCAGAGAACCCTACTACCTCCATTATCGGGGCTGAGCATTGATCTTCCGGTCGTGTATTGAGATAACTTACTTTGTGGCAATATTCATGAATTTTAAATGAGCATCGACACCACGTGATTCCGGAAGTTGATATTGATGATCCATGATAACTAAATAGCTGGTCTGCATTCATTTTGTTGACTGTTCGTGCCAGAAAGGAAGTTCCTTAAAAAAAAAAAAAAGTATAATTCGCCAGCAAAAACTTCGTTGTAGCAACCACGAGGCGTCGTCACGGAAACGTCTGTTCTGCTGGCGCAGAGCGCGGTTCTTTTGATGGCAGTTGTTGAGTGGCGCAGTCAGAGGACGGTTCAAGCAGAATGAAGCACAATATCAGCGTAATAGTCGGTACGGGGCTCTCGGGATTTATAGTACTCGCAGCAGCCATTGCTCTCGGGTGGTACGGATTCCCTGCATTAATCGCACATGAGATAAAACACGTGAGTATAAACCTGGAAACAAAAAAAGATCTGGGAAGAATTTGATTCCATCGTCCCTGCAAATTTTCTCTGACTCCACGGAGCACAGTCCTTCTTGGAAAGCTAATTAGTACGTTCAGATAGTTAATAACAACAACAGGTTAAATTATGGTTTAGACGTTATATTTCAATCTTCGTGTTTTTAAATCGCAGTTAGAAACACGAAATATACCCGAGACGGTAAGCACTACAGAAATTTAATCTACTCTTAATTTTCTCTTTAATACAATCCTAACTTGTTACTGTGTTGAGGCTAGCAGAAACTATAAATTAATGGCTATAAAATTTATGGATAATTTAAAACTCTTAGGCACTAGAGATTTCCATCACGTTAAATTTGTTTATGTAAGTTTACAACGCGCTCCCATAAAAATATTTTACATGCTCGACTCCATTGCATCGTTAGTTAACGTTATCATACTGAAAGATAAATATTATATATTCTGGATTTCTGGAGATCTTTATATTTTTATTTTACATAATTTAAAAATTTCAAAGACAACAAGGCCAATAACGACCATGTACTTCGTGCACGAGTAGTTCAGAGTAAAATCCACGTATTTTTGGAAGTATTTTAGAAAACCACAAAAAATCTTAAATAAACTGTATGTGCTCCAGGTCGTATACGGAATGTGTTCTCACCAATGTAAAAGACACATTATCTCTTAAATAACCTGCTCAGTGACTTGCTCAAAATATGATGTTGATTGGAACGTGGACGGAAGACTACAGGTCTAATCCATTGCAAAGCAAGTAGCCTATTTTCCAAAATCGTTCTTTATTTTGAATATCTCATTGGTTCCGATATTCATTTATTGCAGGTTTATTATAGCTTAGGTAACAGCGCTACAGATGTTTCACTGCACAATCAGAAAACATTCTCCATCATATTTTGCTTAATACTCGACTACATTGAAAAGATTTTCAGATAATCTAAAAAAACAATTCAATCTTGTTACACGTGCCTAATTTTAGTACGATAAAGAGTTTATGAGGAAATTCGATAGTAAAGTATGAGTCATACTGAAATGTTATAAATCAAAATTAAAATTTCCCAAACATCTTTTAACTCAGACCCCCATAATACCTAATTAACTAATATGATCTCCCACCTTGCGTTTATTTAATTGATTTGATTTTGACATTAAAAATTGCATGATGAGACTGCAGTGAGAAGCTAGTCACCGAGCACGAAAGATATTTGTGCACAAACAAAGGATGAGATGACATGTGAACTGATAACATTAATCTTTTTACCGACACAAAATATAGAACAATGTGTTTGTTATACGGATATCACATGTCATATCGTGGCCGGAACTTGACATAAATACGTATCAGATCGTTCATAAATTGTTCGTTTCTCTTTTACTATTACGTAACTTTTAGAAGGACAGAGAGTAAAAATAATTTTGCAGTGTAACTTCAAGGTTGGGCTAAGCATGTTGAGCGCATGACACAGGGGCAGTCAGTACAGTGACTAGGGCATGGGGGGGCTGTACCACCTGGCAGGGCACAACGCCCCTAACGGGTGCCAGGGGTCCGTTTTCTAGGGGTTATGGCGGGCAAAGAGTAAAGCTCACAATCCATGTCAAGATTGAGATGTGGTATGTTCCTCCTCCCTCCATGCGTATTGCTGGCACGCCGCTTAATAAGTACGAACGATAATTTTATGTCTATTAAAATATTTTATTTTTTTTATTACTGACATTCATCGGTATTGAACCATAAGTCCTTGTAATACGACACTTGTAAGCTAATAACCACATCGACCCTCGACATCTGCCACACACATCAAAGACAATACAGACAGTAAACAGGTCAGTGCCATGACAACCGATCCACTAAAGACGGACGTAGGGACATTTAATGACACGTATGAGATCTGAAGTTTTGACGGACTGTAACACCGTGTGAACTTGTAGGTAGATACCAACGTTTGGGAAGATCATTCTGCCTTAATCTTCGGACTTCAAACTTGAAGACGGAGACAATATGTTTCTCCGAATCGTTGGTATCGACTTCATCGACTAAAAAAACAAAGTGTATATTAAATGTACGTCAGACAGAAGGCCAACTTTAAAATAATATCATTTTAACTACGTCCGAAAACAAACTAAATGCAGCACCGCCGAGCTGTATTTGATCAATAGCTTATGGAGTGGTATATGCCAAGAGGTTAATGGTTTCTACTCATAACAATTACTGTTAAGCGTAGGCGTAGGATAAATGTATTGTCTCATCACATACTGAAAATTGTTTCTCAATAGAACTGATTACCGGACAAAAGCCACGCCGATATGCAATCAAGAAATTTCTTTCATATACTCAGAAGGGTTGTCATCTCAATGGATAATCACATCGTAACAAATGAAACGTACATTTGTTTTCGTGACTGTCTCTAAATTTGGTACCCCGTCCTCCACTCGTATATCAGTCTGTCCTTTCGCAGTTGAATTTGAAGAATATCGACGATGTTCGTAATAATTGCCTGATTTCCTGCAGGGCGTGCTTTTGGTAAATGGCACAGAAGCTTATGAAAGATGGCGGAAGTTTCCCCTGGCGATACAGTTCAAGGTGTACTTATTCAATGTGACAAATCCTGAGGAAGTGCAGAACGGAGCCAACCCAGTCGTCCAGGAGGTCGGACCCTACGTGTATGAGTATGTAGACCTAGCAAGGTTCATTTAAAGAAGAAGAAGAATGGGCAAGACCTCTATTCTTTATTTTACGCACGGCGTCTGTCTGCTGTCTAGATATATGAAAATAAAAAAACTAGATGGCAACCCTTTCGATGGCTTATGTTTAATATGAATTATGATTTTACTGGTGCCAATCTGAAAGAAAGACTGCGCAACTGATTAGACGAGAATATGGCAGCGCTAATGAATCGGTCTCATTGTTTTTTTTCTGGGTATTTTACCTTTACATGATCATTTCCTGGTCTCTAGAAAAATTAATATTAAGTTTGGTGCAAATCAGTATACCAGTTCTGGAGCTCTAAGCGAAGAAACACACGAACTCATAATTTTAACTTAATGTGTGAAGTTGTGTAGGCGAATTTCAGCTTTAAAGGGCTAATTTCGAAAGCTACAAAAGTTTAATATGTTTTAATGTGTTGCATAGAAGTGGATGTTCATATCAGATCATGCACGAGTGATCAAATACATCCACAAACATTATCCCATAAGGCACAGAATCCCCTAATACCAAATGATCACTAACAAACAAACCAAGCTACCACCAGTTGCTTGTTATGAAGACAAAAATTAGTCTGTAAGACTTGAGGTTCTCACAGCGGTGAGTATGAAGATATCCGTCTTCTGGATTAGTCTATTTGTGCTCATAGCCTATTCGAACTAAGAACCACAGGAAGTTATAGAGCACCAGGTTTGTTCTGTCTCTTTGTGTTACCTGCAGAGAAATACTCAGATTTACAGTAACACAGCAAATACTAACCTTCAATCATAATGAGTGCAGGAAATTCATTGTAATCATGACAAAGGTAAACTAGAATGAAACCCACCCCATTGTGAATGCCCCAGTTGCTAATTTAAAAATCCATGCGGAAAATAAATTTTATTACAAAAAAAAATAAAGCTTTAGATGTCTATCTATCAGCAGTTGCAGTGTATTTTTCTTTTAATTATAGTCAATTCTTAAATGCGTTGAATGAAAACGTCCATATACTAATTACGTAAAATAGTTACTCTCTAACGCAGTGGTCTAACCAACCAATTAACAAAGCCAAATTTTCTTTTCTCTGGACAAATAAGATTTGGACACCAAATAATACGCAAAACAACACGACGTTTAATGATACAAGAAACCACGCGATCAAAAATACGTACTTTTATAAGTACAATTATTATTACTCAAGTGCGATGTTTGACACTGCATTTCATCGACCAGTTTTTCAAATTTGGGAGTGTAGGATGATGTTGCTGCTCGCAAACAATCGTCAAGATGGACATTAGTAAGTATAGATCTGTGTTTTGATTTTATAATGTTCATGGTTGAACGGCCTTCATTATTCAGTATAACCTCTTTCCGTATCAACGCGGGCACCCAAAAAAAGCCTTGGCGGGCGTCATGGCGCCCGCCAAGTGTCACATTAGATTCTTTCGTGTTTTTAGTCTAATTTACTTACCTCAGAATTTGCACGTGTAATTCTCCTTTAACAACATTTTTAAAAAATTAAAAATATAAAAATATACTCGATTTTCAATTTTCCTTTTTATTTATTTATTTTCTGTTGTCGCAGCTTGAGCACGAATCGATTCAGAATTAATTCTGACACAACATACGCCTTAACACTCAACACAGTTTCTAGATTCTACATGGAAATAATAAGTTACCATTTAAATAAAAAAACTAATTCCTGTCCGTTATCTACCCAGCATTCTTAATCACATTCCAATCAAATTCTGCTATTTATATGTGACGTTATTAAATGATACTGGACCCAAGTAAGTGTTATCAGATATTTGGTTAGGTTCAGCTTTGCTGTTTGACGTTAGCGTCAGTCGCTAAAGCCTGTTGCCTCAATCAATAGAACAAATTTTGTATGTTTATATTCTGTCCTCTTCGTAGATTCGTGAGCACTAGGGATTTACACGTGGTCACGACACACAATTATTGACGTTTTCTTCACAACAGCGTGCACAAATTATATCACGTAACGGTACCAAACAAATTCAAGATATGGACGGAATCGAACACAAAAAATAAAACTGATTCCATGTTTTATGCTTGATGAATTCATTGTTACTCACTGCCTTATTTTACTGCCCCTCCCCTCCAGCAACCACCCACTTAGAGAAATTTGCCGTATTTTACTGACTTTAGTAATAGTTACCTTGATTACAAAATTAAATTAACTGTAAGCCTAGCGGTTATTTCAAACTTTTCATAATTTGAAACAAGTTCTCTCGAAATAAGTGCACTAGAGAATACATACTTTAAAAATTATTTGCTTTCCAATTTGCGTTTTTCTGTGGTGTTTCGTTTATTGATGACGGAAAATTAAAATTATTGTCTTGTTCTCTTCTTTAAGTAGGACTGAGGAAGATAAATATTCTAAACTGAATGGTAGCAAGCATTTTCCAAATTTAATATCATCCTTAAATATTGAAAAATGTAGGCTGATAAATTAATATTTTATTTTAATATTTCAGTCAGTACCGAGAGAAGTTCAACATTACGGACGAAGGTGACTATACTTTATCGTACGTGCAAAACTCGACATTTTATTTCAACAAGGACAAGTCGGGAAATCTCTCAGAAGATGACGTAGTTACTGTACTGAACACAATGATTATGGTAAGCTGCAAATATTAGATTATTCCTCAGGCGAGAAACATTATTAGAAAAATAAATTAATATTTACATTTTATATCTGATGCTACGTGTTAACCATCTAATAAAATTTACTGAAGAGATATTTAGAATATTATGATAATATTTCGTCTGAATTATTTGTATTCTGACAAACACTTCACTGATCACATCTCACTCTCCTCCGTTACTGGTTGAGTGGTCGATTGACTGATTGACAAATGGGGTAAAAGAAAACTCCACTAAACATCTTACACGTGACCGTCAGCAAATGCAAATACACTGCATAAAATTAGAGTTTATTTAATTAAGTATTTGACTGTTTAATTAATTGACAAATTAATAAGAAACTTCTGAGGTACAGAGCATTTATTTAGCTTTCTGAGGCAGACTGGTACCTGTATGTACCATCTAATTTAACATTCAACAACTTTGCATTTTGTTTTTATGGTGCAATCATGGATTCCATATGATTCTCAAAATAAACAGCAGTTATTTCCCTAAATAGCTTTAGCCAATCAATCTTTGCAATGGGGGCACGACCAATTTGTTTGGTCTAAAAAGGGAATGTTTAAATATTATTTATATGAGCTTCATAATTCAGAAGGGTCGAATGTTAATACTGAGTTACTCAGACTGTCAAGAAATTCAACGCATATTTTTTAAGATACTTGATTTTGTTCAACACTTTATAAATATTTATTGAAGTACTTGTTTCGGTCGCATGCGGTCATCTTCAGGTTCGATGTGTCTACGTGGTCTTTAAACGTCTTTGCAATTATTTTTCTGCTGTAATTTATAGACTTTTTGTCTAATTGCCCATTTATGGTTTCATTTGCTGGAATTGGATTTGTGTTCCTCGTCAGATTTAGTCTAACACAATTTATAAAACCAAACAAAATTAATTGAATTTTGCAAATTGTCATATGTTACATGGGATTTGAGAAGAAAAATGTTTTCAGACGTTTTTTATCTTTTAGGGGACGGCGCTGAATGTGAGAAGAAATTTTGGTCCCGACCTTTCAATGGATCCTTTCCTGAAAGAAATATCTCCTGTGTCAGAGAGTATATTTCTGACAGCCACTGTGAGGAAACTGTTTTGGGACGGCGTGACTGTCATAAACTGTACAGGAGATAAGCTTTCATCTGATGCAGAAATGATCTGCGGTGTCCTGACGCCCCATCTGCCGGTTGTGGTGTCAGAGCACGAACCCGGAATCTTCAAGATGGCATATTTTAGACATGTGAGTTTAGTATAACTTAATTTCAACAGCAAATAGAAATACGAGTGAAATAACAGCTTTTATACAAAACTACTTAACATATAACTGATTGGAACAATTTCAGAAACAACCTGATTCATCGTCTCCATAACTGGTTCTATGAAATTGTTATTCTTGGAAAGTTGATAGTAGATTAGACGATCAATAAATTTCCCGTATTTTATAGGATTAGAAAATTTATTACTGTTGGTTTGCATAACCCAGTCACTGAACTTTATCCTGAAACATATAAATCCTGGCCACATCCTTATACTCTTTATATTTCCGATCCGATTTAATATTATGCCCCCACCTACCCCCAGTTCTTCAAAATTCTGTGTTTGGTAAGGTTTACCAACTTAAATTGTGTATATTTGTTACAGTAACTACCTTGCATTCTACATTCCCAACCCATATCATCCCTTTTCATTTGATCGCCCTAATAATAATTGGTGAACAGTGCTGAAGCTCCTCATTACGAAATTTTCTCTATCTTTGTAACTTAAACTTTCTTAGTTACAAATATTCTTGTCAGATCCCTGTTCTCAAATTCCCTTCGTCCGTGTTCTTCCTTTAGGGCGAGAGACCAAGTTTCACACCCAAACAAGACAACGGATAAAATTATAGTCCTGTATGTTTTCACTTGTAGATTCCTAGACAGAATTCTAAAAGACAAAATATTCTGAACTGACTGGTAACGAGTGTTCCCAGAAGTTAATCTGCTTATAAAATACTTTGTTTGTGAATGAAATTTTGATTTGTTGCCTTAGTTCCTAAACATTTAACATTCTTCAGCATTTTGAGTTATTTTTTATGTCTGTAGAGGTTACTGTGCTTATTAAGACTTCGTTCTACGATCTGGCTACGAGACTTGAACGTAGCAAGAGTCTAAGAGTAGAGATTTTGTGTTCTCTCATTTAGGAAGTTTCACCCATTTCAACGATTTCTTGGTGTACTATTAAATCGTGAAATTTTAAAATACGAGGTTAATTTAATTTAGAGATATTGGTATAAGCAAGAAATAACCTAAGACATTTATTTTAACAATGTTTGTGTTTGTTGGTCGTCGATTTGCAGAAGAACGCCTCGAGCAATGGTAGGATCCGAGTCAACACCGGAATTTCAGACAGCAGAGCCCTGGCCAGGATAGAAGAATGGAATGGACAGCCTAATTTGATGACTTGGTCTGGCGAGTACTGCAATTCTATCAACGGAACTGATTCAACCATATTCCCTCCCTTCTGGTCACCCAAGGACACGGTTGCCATCTTTGAGGTTGAATTATGCAGGTATACTGTGTCACTCTTGAACTAAAACTGCTAGGACGACCTGATCAAGAAGGATGAGATGGTTATAACAAACAGCACACACCTGAATTCTGAAAAAATAAATATAAAATTTTAGAGACAAAATCTGAAGTTAGAAGGGACAGTTTTAAGTGAAAGAAATAATAATATAAAAATGGATCGTGGTGAGGTTTGGTTTAAATTAGATTGATTTGACTAAAATGATTAGATATTTGACAAAATACAGTACTTTTCAAATGCCAGATTTAATATAATTCAATCTGGGATATGAATAATACTTAACGAGAGACCTGATGTTGGCACTGTGCGTCCAATTCAAGCTTTTCTTATATAGAACGTATAAAAAGTCCTAAAAACTGTCGTTCTGTTGTACACCCGTTACATATTTGAGAATTTGTTTTATCTTTAGGTCTCTGTATGCCGAATTTGACTCCGAACTGACATGGAAGGGTGTACCAGTTTTTCGCTACATAGGAATTTTACACAACTTTGAAGACGCACAAGATTTTCCGCCAAACATTTGTTTCTGCGAACAAACTAACGACGTACCACCCATCTGTCTTAAGTCGGGAGTTCTTGACCTCTACAGCTGTCTAGGTAAGGTGTGTGTGCGCGCGTGTAGTTGTAGACTTGCATGCGATGTAGTTTTCCTTTGACGAAATGTTTTTTTTATAAATGTCTGTTGAATTAGATTTCATCTTCATGCAACTAAAGTGCGTTCTTCGTAAATCTGTAACAAACCTTTGACTTCATAAAATGCGAATAATTTATTGTCTGGATGAGCTACTATTATCTTCTCAAGAACCTCTCCGCCTTATATTAAAGTGTATATTATAATATATTGGACAGATATACACAAAAATTAAATTTGCCGAATAATTTTTAGTACAGACACAAATACTAAATTCCTTCCAAATCTATCCAATAATTTCTGGAAGATGGATAGATCTATGAACTCTCCACTGCTCAGTCACTTTGTTTACTTCATGAAATGAACACTGAGTGACACTAAACCACTCTGACCCTAGGTGTGTCCATGATTATGTCGTTGCCCCATTTGTACAACGCTTCCCCGGACTACCACATGTACGTCCAGGGTTTGAATCCAGACAAGAAGAAACACGAGACCGTAATCGATATTGAACAAACAAACACGAGACCGTAATCGATATTGAACCAGTAAGTACAGCTACATTAATCTTTTGAAACTGGAGCTCGTTTAAATAATATTTAAGTACTCAGTTTTACCACAAAGAAAACATAACACTACCATTGCAGAAATCAGCTGGTTATCGCTGTATAAATAAAAAATCTCTGTATACAGCGAGAATCGTATGATATACATAGATACAAAATGAAAAGCTTAATGTTAAAGCAGGTGGTACATGTAGTTACCATTTTGGTACATAAGGATAAAGCAGTCCGGGCTGTCTTATGCAATGATGCAGAACGCCTGCCAATCTCATTTGCGTGTTTGAAAATTTGCAGAATAAGCAAGGCTCTAGAAATCATATGACAGCTTGCATAGAAACACTTTTTTGTGCATGAGTGAGTCCATTAGACAAATGAGTTCTGTTTATCGATTAGTCCAGACAATGCAGTTGTTCCCAGTGGGGTCAGTTAAAGGGTTTCAGGCTATGAATAGGTATCATTAGCGATTTTTTCCTGTCGAGAATTATAATTAATTTTGAAACTATATTTTATGTAGGAAAAGGTAGATCCTCTTAAGTGAGAGATCGGCCCATCACAACAAATTTAAGAACATAGAATAAAACGAAGGCGTATAACCGAATCTCGAAGGAAAAGTAAATTTGTTGGTAGTTGGCTACTGGGCTGTGACGTCATAGTGGGCACCAACGCTTCGGATAAGTATTTTGCCTTTACCTTCAGGGCTACAGAGAGAACATCAAATCTAGTACGGGAAATAAATTGTCATTAAAGTTACAAACCTGAAAACTGATTGTAATCTGCTTTAAAACCCAGGGAATTTACCCCACTTTTAACCATTTGACAGAAGACTGGATATGA